GTGGAAAGTCGCAAACCCACGTGGAACAGTACAACAAAGCATGCACTTCCACCGTTGTACTGTTCCACGTGGATTTGCGACTTTCCACGTGAAGCAAGATCCGCTCCACACCTCGGACATAGTTTGGGTAGGGTTATATTTTAACGAGGTGGAGTCCCCCCGCAGGGGGGGGGGGCGGAATATACTGTCTCCACGCATGTACATACTTCCACCGTTGTACCATAGGTTCCACATAGGTAGGGTGCATATTTTTCGGGCTTCCCCAATTGATTATCACTGTCGGAGTCACAACAAATGTTTTTACCAAGAAAACCGCAAGAAAATATCAATATTCGGGAAAGGCCCTATTCTTTAGAATTACCATGAAAACAATGAAATTGTCATTAAAAAAAGGTAATTATTATAAAATGCATAAAAATAGGGTAAGATTAACAGAAATAAAGGTGTGAACAGGGAAAGAATAATTTGTGATGTTGTGTTTATATTATCTTATAAAATAGCAATTTGCAATGTGCAAACGAGGCGTCTATATTCTTCGCATATAGCTGTACCATTAAAAGATTAAGTAGCTATTATGTCTTTTAATCTTCCTTAAAGTAAAAATGTTAGGTTTTTCAAATTTTTTAAAAATTCAGTTTTGATAAACAAAAACTAAACTTATTGGTCAATGGTGCCCGTCATCGATTTCAATCTATATACCAACAAAAACTGATTGATATCAACAATTTTTTGGTCTTGAAGTATCCTCATCACTAACTTTTTCTCACACAAAGCTATCAAAAAAACTTATGTAAGTTTTAGTAAAATTTTTAGTAACTGAAATTGCTAGGATACGAAAGATTCATTGAATCAAATATTTTGAGTCAAATATGTTAACTTTATTCAAATTAATTGTAATTAGATGTTTGTAATATGAGGGGCAGTCAAATGAAAACCGAACACCCGCCATAACACACAGTCCGCGCGAAAGGTAGCAACACTGTTGTTACGTTTTGATACTGCCATGGATGGATAAGGCCATCAATCCGCCCTATCACACCAGGGGTAATAGCTCGATGGGCCTGTCCTGGGTGCGCATCGTCTTGCAGTGATGTGTGCCCTTCTCGAAATCTCCTATGCCACTCGTGCACACTCGTCAGGGACATGCAGTGTTCACTATACACAGCAGACATGCGACAATAAACTTCGCCTACTCCAGCACCCTCCGCCATCAGAAAACGAACCACACCTCTCTGCTCTTCTTTGCTTGCCTCCATTTGAACAGCTGGACGAACACACTAGACCAGCCCGCGCACAAACAAGGACATAACCCAACAACTGCGTGCACCCATGATGTAAGAAGAAAGGTGTGCTATCGCGCACGACCAATCACAAACACTTCCAAAACGACGCCATATTGGGAAATATCAATCATCAATAGCATCAATGCGCAAGATGTAGATAATTATGCTATACTATCTCAGGAGGAAGATGAAGATAATGAGGAAGATGACGGCTGCGAAGACGAATACAAAAAAGTAATGGTAAATCGTAATCTCTTCGCGGCATTCATGAAAGAAGAAGCACCTCATTATCTTCATTTTCCTCCTGAGATATTAGTTGCTTTCCTTTTACATGAAAACTCAGATAAATCTCACTTGTGACGTCATAACTCAGTTGAATGCATGTTCCTTTTGATTCTTGAAAAGTGAGATTCAACCAGATTTAACTGAGTTTTTGCGCACGATCAAGACCGTGTGATTTAGTGAGTTTAATAGACTGACATTAATGACGTCATATCTGAGTATAAAATACTCACATAACTGAGTGACTCAGTATCACTTGAGTGTAAAAGGAAAGCAGCTAGTATAATTATCTACATCTCGCGCATTGATGCTATTGGTTGATATTTCCCAATATGGTGTCGTTTTGGAAGGCGCAGAAACAAACCAAAATTGGTTCACGGTGAGAGCACACCTTATCTTCTTACATCATGCGTGTACCTGTGAGGTGTCACTATGCAGTTCTCCTACCACAGCGATGGCAGTATCGAAACGTAACAACAGTGTTGCTACCTTTCGCGCGGACTGTGTGTTATGGCGGATGTTCGGTTTTCATTTGACTGCCCCTTATAATATTATAATAACTCAACTGGATTTGTTAGTACATTAGTTCCTGAGTAAAAACTGAGAGAGAGAGAGAGAGAGGGGGAGGGGGGAGGGAGAGAGAGAGGGGGGGGCGAATACAACAATAGATGAGAATATTTATCATCAGTTTATCTTAATGGTGTTCACTAAAGCCAACGACACATGATATTACTTTTCCTACTGGACTGCTTGCGAGAGCCAATCAAGTTTTAAGTCATCTGATCTAAAATACTGCATCCCTATTGGCTCTGACAAGAAATCCAGTGGGGGGAAAAATAGCATCGTTTGCCGTTGGCTTTAGTATTGAGATACTATCACTTTTCTTAACATAAAAATATAATTAAACTTGAGTTGTTTAACTTAGGAAGTTCTTAAAATATTATTTTTATTAAAAGTGAAACATGTTATCATTTTAAAATGAAATAATTTGCAATTTGAGTAGCTTTTTGTCGCCAATGGTAATAAACCAAGGGAATTTTTTTTTAAATTGACCAAACTGGCAAAATTGATGTTTATTTTAATCACTATGTTTCGACCTCTTTATCGGGTCCTTCTCAAGTACCAGAAGTTCCAGATATATTATGAATTTGCTACCACAGACTCATGAACCCATTCTGTTTCAGCATAAAATTAAAACGTTCAGTCAACTTTAGGTAATTTCCTCCATATACATACTAATGAATCTATATTGTTCTATGTTGCGGTTTGAGCACTTACAATGTTTCCAGAATGTACTTGAGAAGGACCCGGTAAAGAGGTCGAAACGTCGTGATTAAAATAAACATCAATTTTACCAGTTTGGTCGATTTTTTAAAAATTTCCCTTGGTTAAATAATTAAATGTAAAAGGTAAAAGTGCATAAACACGGAACCAGCCCCAATGACCTTAACCCTGACATATGTTGTCAAGGCCACCCCAGTCACCCTCCTGAGTGACCCTTAGAAGGTTTTAGCCATCGCTTGTTGTTTGTTAATAAGATGTTTAAAAAACAATGTCAACGAATTATATGTAATTTTCAGACACAAATATTAAAAATTTTGAAAAATGTTTTAAACAAACGCTGTAAATCTCTTCAAAATATGCATTTTATTTCCTATTAATTTTTACTGTACGAGTGATAGTTATCGAGAAAAATGATTAAACATCTTAGACATGGTTTGGGTAAATATGATTTTAAATCATAATAGAAATGCTTATGATATAGTCATACTGGATCTTTGTGCCTAGTATTTTTACGTTTTTATTCATGTTCGCTCAGACACCTTTCCCAGATAGTAGGGAGACAAGATTCGAATCTTGACTGAGGTAATATTTTCAGCAATAAATTGTTTACAGATTGTTTCTAAAAGATGCTTAATCAGCATCATTATTGAATTGATCGTTTAATTAGGTATGTTATTTCGATTTTAGCTTAATACTGCGTTTTAAAATCGATAAAGGTATGCGCGCATTTACTATGTTGGATAAAGATATATACCCAAAAATATTAGGCACGAAGATCCAGCATGATCGTCATAAGTCTTTCTTTCTATTATGCGATTTATGTAAATGTTGAAATTTTGTATGTTGAATTATTGTAAATGTTGAACAGGTGAGTCCATAAACAGCATGATATTCTTTGATAAATATGTGTTTTAGCTACAATAAACTTATTAAAGATAAGTCCATCTTATTATCCAATTGTTATTTTAGTTGATATTATCGAGAGTTTAACTTATTAATTTTATTAAAGATACTTAAGCCAACGGTACACAATATATTTTTCCTACTGGATTGCTTACGAGAACCAATAAGGATGCACAGTGTTTTTTAGATCAGTTTTAGATCAGGTGACTCAAAGCTAAATCCTGATTGGTTCTCGTAAATAATCCAGTAGGAGAAATAGTATCGTGTGCCATTGGCTTTAGTATAACATTAAAATAATGATATTATAATATTATAAAAATCATATGAGATTTCAGAAGTTATAAAATGTAAAAAAATGAGAGAGAAAGAGAGAGAGATAGAGGGGGAAAAGAACAGTCTACAAATTGTAATATAATTCAATACCATACCTGCGAATGTGTTATATGATACGTGCACAGTTGATTTTGCATTTCCACAGCTTGACAAAGTAAAGAATGAAGTCTGCGTGGCGGTAACATAATGGAGGGTGGTAGGAATCGCTGCAGTCTGTCCATAAGCGCAGCCCTGGAGGCTGGCCCTTTGCCATCCCAGCCTGCACGTGTCTGTCAACAAGTGTCCATTTGCTAGTGATCAAATTTTCAGTTGTAAATTAGTTTCAACTATGTCTTAAGAATGAGAAAGCTTCAGTTTTTGTAGGAACATTAGTACAAAACACCCCTAGTTGAATAGAATACCGTTACCTCTGTTTGTTATTTAAAGCAAATATTTGGAATACCTGTAACTCGTCACGTCCACTGCACATCATAAATAAAGATAACTGATGAACACGACCGGTATTATGGCCCAAGGGTGTAAGCTCATTGCGCAGTACATGTAATGCATCAAACACCATACCTTCTTCTAAATATTCTAAATATTTTTGTTCTAGCAATAAGAACTTCATCTCCTGTAAATAAAAAAGATATTGTTTGAATTATTAATCAAATAATTTATTTTTATTCTTTACTTGTTATATCCTGATAATTATAACAAAAAATATAATAAATAGTAAAATATTTTTAGCTATTAATAAAAGTTTGTCCATATATCTTTAAAATTGTCTTTTTTCCTTGTCATTATTTAATATTTAAATGTAGTTCAACATCATGTATGTATATAAAAAATATTGTAACTTTGGAACAAGAATTTATTATTCTATATTTCTTCAAAATTGACGAAATTATATTGTAAAGTTATTATTTAAAAAGACTGAAGTTTTATATTTGTGGATTAAATTAAAAATAATTAAAAATTTTTATGATTTAAAATACTTCCGAAAAGAACATTACTATACAGTTAAATCTTCTAAGAAGTTAGATATGTACAGTTACAATACTTTCAGTGTCAAGTTGTTTATATTTTGTTATTATTGAGCCAATGTCAAATAATGTTTACGTATTTGATTGTTCATATAAATGTTAAAAACTATATACCAATACAATTTCCAATTTTAGATGTTACAGAGTGTTTTTTTAACTTGAGACTGCAAAACTTCTGGAAAAAGAAGCATTGTACGAAAAAATGTTCCAAATAAACCCTCAATATTTTCGAGGGGGCCATTTCATTCCGAAAAAGTTAGCTGCCTACCGCCTCCCCTGGAAGTGGGGCGGAGGATAGTTTTGAAATCTTAAATGGGAACCCCTATTGTTTATTATATTACCTTATGTTATTAATTAATATGAACTTTTGTCTGAAACATTTATTTGCCTAATACTTTTTGAGATATTTAAGAGAAAATTGATAACTTTTTCAATATTTAGCTTATATCTCGATAACTGTTTGTCAGAGGGAAAAGTAGTACAGGACTTTTTTACTTGATTTGGTCTCAGGAATATGCTGTTGGAATAGTGATCCAATTATTGAAAATTTTGTGTATTGTAACAGTACACAAAATTTACATGCACAAAAATTTGAAAATTGCCCCCTCGAAAATATTGAGGGTTCATTTTGAACATTGTTTCGTACAATGCTTATTTTTTCAGATATTTTGCAGTCTGAAGTTAAAAGAACTCACCATCTATATATATATATATAAAACAAAAATATAAAGATACATAATATTAACATAATTGTTTAAATATATACCATATGTATAATAAAAATAATAAAAATAATTTTAAAATAGAAATATTTACATATTTCTTTTTAATTCTTAATAGAGTATATCAATTAGTATGATCAAATTTTACATTAAAAAATGCACTATTAGCACAATTATCAGTTATATGAAGAAAAAAGATTTACCACTAAACTCTGGTTTGCACTATTTAAAAAAGACTTAAGTTCATTGAGGTCATGGTCTGCTTTATTCCAATCACCGTCCATAACGTGTTGCCTAAATTTCGCCGCAGCAGGATGATCTAGCCGACAGCCCGATTCTTGCATAAGCAAATCTGCTGTCCGACTAAAAATAATATTTCCATTACTTTTACTTACTATTAATTAAAAATTATAATTTCTGATCTTAATATTTCATCTCATTAAGAATTTATGTAAGATCCTTTAACATTTATTTATAAATAAATGTATATAAAATACATATTTTATCTATGTCAAAGTTACTAAATAATAATAGATATTAATGTTTATTTTTTTATTACAGAAATTTAAAAAATTAAATTATACCTTTATTTAAAGCATTTATTTATATTAAGATATTTCAATTTTGTTTTCAAATTACCTGCCATTATAAGGTAAATATTATTGCTATGTATCTGTATTTCAAAGTTCTATCATTAGCTCTTTTCTATTGTATGAATAAAATTCAGGTAAGGCAAATGTTATTTTTTTGACAAGTACGAAGTAATAATAAAAATTTATTAATTATATAATTAATAACATGCGTGTGCAGAGCTTGGTATTTTTCTTAAAAGATAGATGAACGTTGTCTATTATAAGATAGGATTTTAATATGAAATAGTAAATTTTCTATGTCCAAATTCAATCGCAAATCGTTTTTGGCAACAATTACATCTAACAATCAATTTTCCACTAAACAGATTTCACTCCAAGGGCCATAAATTCATGGTATAACCAACAGATAGTGTCTAGTAATTTAGCAAAAACTCCGCTATCTCATACCAGGAGTCTATCTCGTAATAAGGGACCTTCCTCTACCAATACAGATGATGTAGCTACTATCTGTATCTGTATATTTCTCTGGAAAAATATTTCAGTGCATCTCGCACCTATATCTAAATTGAATAAATGTAACTTGCATGTATCTGCATCTCTTCACTAAATCCATTGAAAATATATCTTGTACCTGTATATCCGATGAAACAACTCAAGATACCAAGCTCTGTACATATATATATATATATATATATATATAGGTCTATGTTTATATACACATACGGACACATTCTAATCTTAATACACTATAAAAAAACACAAGTGTTTATTGATTTAAAAAATAATAGCAAACTATATTCTTTTTCAAACTGAGCTGTTTCAACTGGGTGGATGAAAGTATTAAAAACTTGAACCAACAATGTACGTACTCTAAGCCGACTGTCTTTAAGTGTTGCCCGATAAGCCTCACAATGTCCTGGTTAGTTTTGTCCATTATTTTTGGTGGTCCCAAACTCTGATTTATGTCTCCGTTCACACCGTTAATATCACTATCCGATTCCGGTAACAGATTACCATTGGCATGAGGCCCACCAGAATCCGCCTTGGCTCCATTCTGTTGCAGTCCAGAAGATACACCACCGTTTGAGGCCTGCTGTTGCATTATGCTGTCGTGCATACTGGAATGTCACCCACAGCGGCAATAATATTATCGTAGCGCTAACTAGCATTTTAATAAAAACTATTTTCTGACAATCTTGAGGAATTAAAAAATTACAGTAAATTGTATTTTAGTTTAAAAGAAAAGAGAAAGTCAAGCTTATTAATGACAACTTTTAATACTTTGGACGAAGTGAACCCTGCAAAGAATATTTGGGCGTATAAAAAAAAGGGGCGAAAAAAAAGAGTGTAAAACGCTGCAACGACTCCGGAATCGCGAGACACGATTTGCGGAGTAAAATCTCACAGACACGCTCGCGTTGAAAAGTACTCGAAATTCTTGTACATTACCGATAATTATCCATGTCCGGACTGGGGGAGTGGTGCTCGTCCGCTGGTCGTAGGGTAGCCGGTACAGAACTACGGGACCTTTTGCGCGGTGGCGGAGCGAGTCCACCGTCGTCCGACTCGCTGCTCGAGGCCAGGCTTATGCGCGTACCGCCCCGTTTTTTACACTATTATTGTCCCCCGGGGATAACCGTTGGCGAATAATGGCACGGACCTGGGGCTGGGGTCGGGGTGGTAGCACGCGCGCAGCCACGATTGCTGTTAGGAGCGAAAAAAAGAGCCTGGCCTAGCTTTCCCCCCGTTTCTTTCTCTCCTCTCGCCACTTGTCGCGTCGGATCTTAAAAACGTTCGCGTCTCGCCCGGGTCCGTTGGCGCGAGCCAGCCACCGTCGCTATCCCCGCCGTTCCTGCCAGCCACCGCGGAACTCGATGATAGTGCGACGCGGAGAGAAACTGGGATCTGTCTGCCAAGACCAATGTGAATTCAGGGAACAATGACTGCAACACAGCTGATACTTGTTTGGATCCGTCGTTTACGTCACGTCGTACTCTTCTTTGCGGATAGATTGGCGATCGTCGCGCCTACTACATCCGCTCATTACGTACACGGACTATTCAGTCGTTCTGCTGACTTCGACTTTTTCGGGTTTCTTTGTCCTCGGTAAAGCCACGATCTCTCGTCGTACACAGTTGCGACACCGAGCGTCAGCACCTTTCATGTAGATGGCTCCAAGTCATGTGATCGGTCGCCATTTTGGAAATTGTACACGCGCTTAAATTTGAGTGTTTCTAATTTAAATCACAAGGATAATTTCTGTAGTAAACAAAATGATGAAGTAAACGGATAATTTATTAAGCGATTCTTATTTCAAAATCATCTTAAGTGTTGTCTCAAGATGCTAAAGCTGGGTTTACATTGGATGTCGTAAGTCGTATCGGAAGAAATTGACCAATCACAGTTCATTAGGCTGGGTCTACATTGGGTGTCGTAAGTCGTGTCGGAAGAAATTGACCAATCACAGTTCATTATTCTCCTTATGATCGAAGAATAATGAACTGTGATTGGTCAATTTCTTCCGACACGACTTACTACATCCTATGTAGACCCAGCCTTAGTCTTCTTACGGTCGAAAAATAATGAACTGTGATTGGTCAATTCCTTCCGACACGACTTACTACATCCTATGTAGACCCAGCCTAAGGCTGATGGCAGACAACTATCCGTAAGCGCTTAAGGCTGACGTAGCCGTAAACTTAGGGCCGTAGCCTAAGAATATACATATAATATGGCTGCCATAATTCTCGACTATGATTGGTCAATTCGTTTACTGCTTACGTCTTATTGCTTAAGGCCGTTTGTGTGCCACGGCCCTTAAGGTAAGGCAGAGAAAAACATAAGCCGTAGAACACGTGTTCCTTACGGCTTATGTTTTTCTCTGCCTTACCTTAAGTTTACGGCTACGTCAGTCTTAGTCCCAGTCTACAATAGAGATTTAAGCCCTAAGCCTTAAGAAATTGACTAATCACAGTCGCGCATTCTACTCATACTTGACCGTGATTGGCCAATTTCTTAAAGCTTAGGGCTTAAATCATCTATTGTAGACTGGGACTTAAGCGCTTACGGAACTGACGTAGCCGTAGACTTAGGGTAAACGTAAGTCCTTAAGCGCTTACGGATGGTTGTCTGCCATCAGCCTAAGGCCCGGTTTCACCAACGCGAGTTAATCTAATCGGTCGGTTAACTTGACAGGGTGCCAACATAAAACTTCTTTATTAACCAAGAAAATAGGTTAATAAAGAAGTTTTATGTTGGCACCCTGTTAAGTTAACCGACCGATTAGATTAACTCGCGTTGGTGAAACCGGGCCTAATACGGCCACAGTATAACCACAGTATAACCACAGTATAACCAGTATGGGCACTCTCTGGATGTGTTCGAAAATGGATTTAGTTACTGCCAGTGAAAACAGTATAGTTGGTAGCAATGAAAATTACTGGTGCTGCGTTTTTCGCACGCCAGTAAAGTCAGTAAGGCTGGGTCTACATTGGATGTCGTAAGTCGAATAATGAACTGTGATTGGTCAATTTCTTCCGACA